GCCTTCACTTCTAGTTAGATGCTCCACCATTTGAATTCATGTTCATGTAAGCATAAACAATCATGTACATTGACACAAATACTTACTAATTGAACAAAACCAAGCCAACATTGTTCTTTTCAATCTTCACATTTTTTACCAAATGCAACCCCAATACCCAAAAGCATAATTGCTTTATAGCCAAATTTTCATTGAGTTTTAATACACCATATTTTCCTCTGCTAGATGACGCACAACCCTCATGGTTGATATCATATTATTGTGTTTTGCATAACGACCTAAAAAGATGTGATCTCTATACTATCAATCCTCGGCATATATAGGAGGGTGTTCACTGCACTAGACATCAGACCATCGCCGCATACATCTTGATGATGCCTCCAACTATTTTTGGAACAAATGGTATTCCGTAGTGTCTCATGAGCTTTGAAACATTTTCATCTGCAAATTCTACCTGCCAAATCTTTTTGTCCGTATGTTTTTCAAAATCAACTAAAACTTCACTTATGTTGAACTCATCTAGATTACCTAACTTCACATTCATTCTGAAAATGATTATAAGATATGGTTGGTCTCAAAATTATAGTAACTTAGAGTTAATGGAATGGCATATATTCTATATTTTCCTTTGAATTAATGGAACGACTTAAACACACAAAAAATCGTTAGCTTTAGATTTTAGTTCCTTCGTTCCTTTAAACTTAACGATTGATTTAAGATAAGTTGACTCTTGTAAGAAAGAAAAACCGTTGAGTTAATGGAAAGAAATGAAAATTAGGAACTTCGTTTTAGCAAAAACAAAAACAAAAAAAATTAGAAACTTGGTACTTATTATTTTTTTTTTTGTTAAGAATGTAAATATTTCATATAAAATGAAAACGTTTTAGGTTTACAAATCAAGACAATATAAACCTACAAAATGATTCCATGGCAAAAAGATAAAAACATGGAAGCATATTACATTACGATTTTCAGTACATAACTCAACGGAAGTACGAAAGCTAACAGAGTAGTGAAGTGATGACGATATTATTGTCCTCGCCAAATCAGATGCTCGAGAAGAAGATGTAAAAACAAGGCGCAAAACCGGCATACCAAACCTCATGACACTAGAAGACTTTCACTAGAAGTCCTGAGCCGTGAACAGGAAGGTCTACAAAGTCTTCGATCACATATACCATATGTGTCATGCGAGAGCAAGTAGGAGAAATATTCCATGAGCTATCTCATGCG